GTATATATTGGATTGATCATTTTGTCTTTTACAAAATCATAGAAAAACAGGGCTGGAAGGAATCTCAAGAGGTAATTTAGTGCAGTCCCTTGCTCATGGCAGGATCATCCGTGTTTAAATCACACCAGTGAAGTATTTGTTTAATATCCAAGGACAATGATTCCACAATTTCTAAGTAACCTTTAAGTTAAGCACTATTCCAGTGCTTAACTACCCTTTTTTATAGTTAACCATTTCTTAAATGTTTTGGCAATTTTTTTGTTTGTTTGTTTTTTAATTGCGATATAAATAAGGCTGTTGTTCTTCTTGTCCCCCGCAGCCAAAGAGAATAGTCTATCACCATCCTCTCTGAGAGTTTAAATCATGGGTTAGCAATTCATGGCCTGTGGGCTGAATCTGGCCCCCGGAGCCATATGATCAGTGTGTAGACACGGGACTTCGGTGGCATTCTGTAGCAGGAGGCTTTGGCAGCAGTTGCTTTCTGGGAACAGATGCTGGCTGCAGCTGGTTCTAGCACCTCCCCAGTTCTGATCCAAGCTGCGTCAATCTGGCCTGCAGCCTTAAAAGATGACTGACCACTGCTCAATTAATGCATTATAGCAGTTATAATGTATTGCAGTGTAGACATACCTTAGCCAGCTTTAAACAAGCCAGCTCAGGAACTGGAAGCAGTCTAGCTCTGGTAACTTGGCCTGCATGAATAGTTAAATAAACGAATCTTGCAGGCATAGGTTACTTGGAGGTTTGCCATACTTTTTTTCCAGGTAGCATTACAACTGTGAAATGAATATGTTTTATTTTACTGGAATAATATTTTTGTGAATTATCTTTTGTTTCTTTAGGAGTTGCACGTCGGAGAAAATCAGATTGAAGTGTTAAACACAGAGCACCTTAAGCATTTGAATTCTCTCTGTGTGTTGGAGCTTAGAGATAACAAGCTTAAATCACTTCCTGATGAAATTACTTTGCTTCAAAAGTTGGAGCGACTTGACCTAGCTAACAATGATATTAGTAGGTAAGATTAAAGCCATGTAAATTTATACTGAAACACAGATAAACATTCTAGTCTTGGTTTGAACAGTAATTCACAGTTTCACTTTTTCTGTGCATCAGTTATCTTTTGTTGTTGTTGTTTGCTTGCTTGCTTTTAAGAAGGACTTTGTGCAAGAGTTTTTGTGGTCCTGATTTTAATTACTACTAATTTTAACAATGTGACTTCTTTGTACTTGATTCAGAATACTCGATGAAGTGATAGACTATTGCTAATCATTTAATGCTTTTGTTGAAGTTACTTTGTCTCTATTTGCAGATTGCCTTATGCACTGGGGAACCTTCCTCACTTGAAATTCCTCGCACTGGAGGGCAATCCTTTGAGAGCTATTCGAAGAGACATTTTACAGGCAAGTACACTTTAAAAACAGATGCAGCTTGATATATATTATAAACATAACCTTCCCATGTTAAAAGATGCTATTCCTTTTTCAAAGTCAAATACTCCAAAGTTAGAAAATGCCAGAGTTAAAGAAGTCTATACAACCTCAGCTTAGCCCCTTTTTGTGCCTCATGATGCAGTCTTTAAGTACATGACCACTGAATATGTTTCACCTCATTCAATATAGAAGATGAAACTGCTCTGAGGTGTGTGTAGTACAGGAGGCTGTTGTCTGTAGGACCTCTGTTTCATTTGTTGCAGGAATTGTAATGCATTTAGTGTATGAGGAAGGAGGTTAAGGAGGTTGAATCGGTCCTTGTGAACTGTAGTACTTCTGCTTCCAGAGCGTCTGTGGGATGCTAGTAATTTAAACTTTTTATAAGTGGTCACAGCTTGAGTTTTCAATTTCTACATACACAGCTAGAACCTGATGTCCTGTTGGCAGAAATACAATTCCCAGGGAGATGTCCTTTGAATGTGGTAAATGGCATATAGTGCTAATTTCCCTACACATGAGAACTGAAATCTTCCAAATTGGGCACCTGCATTAGGGAAATATTTCACTTTAATCTTACTGTGCTTT